GGGAATTCCGGCTGATCCCGTTGGGATTTTCTCCGCAGGGATATCCCGATGCCTCTGGTCAGCTCCGGGGTGGAGCACGGGAACCTCCGCGAGCTYGCCCTGGCCCGGATGAAGGATCTCGGCACGCAGGTCAATTAAAAAATTCATTTTTTATTAATTAAAATAATTATTGATCATAATTAATGATCATTTAAAATATTTCATAAATAATAATAACGACCAATGATAGTATTTATTGGAGATAATTGATGAAGTATAATAAAATTAAATCAATTGAATAATTTCTGACTAATGGAACGTAATAATGAATTAAGAATAAAATAATATGTCAATGGATATGAGAGGTTAAATAATAGAAATTAATAAAAATAATTAATAAATCAAATAAAGTCAATAGAATTAAATATTCAGTTATCTGGGAATTGTCCAGGAAATTTTCTGGGGATTATCCAGGAATTAGCCAGGAATTTTCTGGGAATTATCCAAGAATTATTTGGGAGTTATCCAGGAATTGTCTGGGAATTACCTGGGAATTATTCAGGAATTATCTGGGAATTTGCCAGGAATTACCTGGGAATTATCTGTGAATTATCTGGGAATTTTCTGGGAATTATATGGGAATTTTTTCTGGGAATTTACTGGGAATTATCCAGGAATTTTCTGGGAATTATTCAGGAATTTTCTAGGAATTATCCGACAATTTTATGCGAATTATCTGGGAGTTATCCAGGAATTATCCAGGAATTTTCTGGCAATTATCCAAGAATTATTGAGGAGTTATCCAGGAATTTTCCGGGAATTTTCTGGGAATTTTCCAGGAATTTCCTCACTGGGATCCTCACATTATTCCCGCTTTTCCTTCTCCCAGTGCCGCGACGTGAGGACGAGGGAAGTCGGGATTCAGGAAATCCACCACAAAGTGAGGCCCTACCAGGTAAGAAAATTCCCTTTTTTTCCATTTTCTCTGGAATTTTTCCCAATTTCTCGGATTATTTTTGTAGCTGGATCCGATTTCCCATCAATTTTGGATGGGATTTATTTGGGGTGGGAATTTATGGATTCCATTGATTTTTCCCGGGGCATTTTGGGGTGGAAAAACTGTTTTCATCCCGAAATATCCACATTCCATTTTTCCCTGATAAAACCTGGATTTGGGAATCACCAGCAGGAAGGAGGATGGGTGTTGGGCAAGGTGAATTCCCGTTTTTTTGGGGTTTTTTTGGGATGAATTCCATGATTTTTTGGGCAAAGAACGGATGTTGAAATGTTTATTTCCACCTGAGGGGGTTCATTTAGTTTGGGGGGGTTCCCTTCCTAAAATCCTAAAATATTCCATGGAAAAAAGGCTGAAAAAAAGAAAATGGTGGGGTTGGGAGAGTCCGATTTGGGAATTCCTGGAATTCTGGGATGGTTTGGGATGGAAGAATCAGGGAACAAAGAACATTGGGAGCGATGGCCCCGATCCCTGCGGGATTGGGAATTTTGGGAATTTTTGGGATTGGGATGGAAGCTCCGGGAATCCCATCCCAACCGTGCCGGGATTGTGGGATGGAGGACGCTCCGAATCCATGGCCAATTTTTGGGGATTATTCCCATTTTTGGGGGGATTTTTGCTGTGTTTTTAGTGGATTATTCCCATTTTTCAGGAAATTATTCCCATTTTTTGGGAAATTATTCCCATTTTTGGGGGTTATTCCCATTTTTGGGGGGGATTATTGCTGTTTTTCAGGAAATTATTCCCATTTTTTGGGAAATCACTCCCATTTTTGGGGGGTTATTCCCATTTGGGCCTGGATCCCAAAATTCCTTGGCAGGGAGGAGTCGGGGTGGGGATGGATCCGATCTGGGGCTGGGAGAGCCGGGAATGGAGGGAATTCCCTGGGAAAGGGGGGATTTATTGGGATCTTGGGAAGGAATTCCCAGGGAATGTCCCAGGATGGATTTGGGATCGCGGGAATTGTCGGGATTGGAGCGGGGTGGGATTTCAGCTCTGGGAATCCCAAATCCAAACCATCCCGGGATTCTGGGATTCCCTGGAGATGCTGGGATGGCTCCAGGCTGGGATTCCCGGCAGAAAAATCCCATGGGATGCAGCTCCGGGGGATTCCAGGATCCAGGGAATGCTTGAATCCCATTCCCGATCCTAAAGGGGCTCCAGGAGAGCTGGAGAGGGATTGGGGAAAGGGATGGGATGGGATGGGATCCATGGGATGGGATGGGATTTGGGATCCATGGGATGGGATGGGATTTGGGATGGAATGGGCTGGAATCAAAGGAATGGGATTTGGAATGGGATTTGGGATCCATGGGATTTAGGATAGGATTTGGGATGTGATTTGGGATCGAATCTCCACCAATCCCACCCAAACCACTCCAGAACCCTCCCCCATGACCAATCCCATCTCTGCCATCCCCACCCACAACTCCCTTCCTGGAACCCCTCCCAACCCCTCCAAAACCCACAAAATTCCCTCTTCTCCCCCAAAACCCCGATTAAACATTTCTCCGGGATTTTCCCAAAACCCCAATTAAACACTTCTCTGGGATTTTCCCAAAACCCCAATTAAACATTTCCCCGGGATTTTCCCAAAACCCCAATTAAGCATTTTCCCGGGATTTTCCGGGATTTTCCCAAAACACCGATTAAACATTTCTCCGGGATTTTCCCAAAACCCCAATTAAACATTTCTCCGGGATTTTCCCAAAACCCCAATTAAGCATTTTCCCGGGATTTTCCCAAAACCCCAATTAAACATTTCCCCGGGATTTTCCCAAAACACCAATTAAACATTTCTCCGGAATTTTCCCAAAACCCGGATTACACATTTCTCCGGGATTTTCCCAAAACCCCAATTAAACATTTCTCTGGGATTTTCCCAAAACCCCAATTAAACATTTCTCTGGGATTTTCCAGGATTTTCCGGGATTTCTCCGGGATTTTCCCAAAACCCCAATAAAACATTTCTCTGGGATTTTCCCAAAACCCCAATTAAACATTTCTCCGGGATCTTCCGGGATTTTCCGGGATTTTCCCGGGATTTTCCGGGATTTTTCCGGGCGCAGGTGGAGCTGGTCCGTCGGGATTACGTGGCCAATGGAGGTTGGGAGACGTTCCTGTCCTACGAGGACCCGGAGCGGGATATTCTCGTGGGGCTGCTGCGGCTGCGCCGATGCTCCGGGGAATCTTTCCGGCCCGAGCTCAAGGGCGGCGTCTCCGTGGTGCGGGAGCTGCACGTCTACGGCAGCGTGGTGCCCGTCAGCAGCCGCGACCCCTCCAAGTTCCAGCACCAGGTACGGCGGAATTACCGGAAAATTCATGAAAAATTCCCGGAAAATTCCCGAAAAATTCCTGAAGTATTCCAGTATCGGGTACCCCGGAATTCCTGAAAAATTCCAGCACCAGCTACGCCCGAATTCCCGAAAAATTCCCCGAAAATTCCCAAAAAGTTCCCAAAAAATTCCAGCACCAGGTACCCCGGAATTCCTGAAAAATTCCAGCACCGGATACGCCCGGAATTACGGGAAAATTCCAAAAAAATTCCCGCCAAGTTCCAGCACCAGGTACACCAGAATTCCAAAAAAATTCCCGAAAAATTCTGGTATCAGGTATGCCCACAATTCCCGCCAAGTTCCAGCACCAGGTACACCCGGAATTACTGGAAAGTTCCCGAAAAATTCCGGTATCGGGTACCCCAGAATTCCTGAAAAATTCCAACAGCAGGTACGCCGGAATTACCGGAAAATTCCCGAAAAATTCCAGTATCGGGTATGCCCGGAATTACCAAAAAATTCCAGCACCAGGTAAGCTGGAATTACTGAAATTCCCAAAAAATTGCGATATCAGAATTTCTTTTCCATTTTTCCCCATTTTTTCCTGTATTTTCCCCATTTTTCCCTTTTTTTCGGTTTTTCCCCATTTTTTCCCATATTTTCCCAATTTTTTCCCCATTTTTCCCCGTATTTTCCCCATTTTTTCCTATTTTTTCCCATTTTTTCCCATCTTTTCCCCATTTTTTTCCTGTATTTTCCCCATTTTTTTGCCATTTTTTCCTGGTTTTTTCCCATATTTTTCCCATTTTTTCCCGTATTTTCCCCATTTTTCCCGTTTTTCCCCTCCCAGGGGTTCGGGATGTTGCTGATGGAAGAGGCGGAGCGGATCGCCCTGGAGGAGCACGGATCCTGGAAAATCGCCGTCATTTCAGGTATTTTGGGGATTTATCCCAGATTTTGGGTTTTTTTAGGATATTTTTATCTCAATCTCCTGGGCAGGATTGATCCGGAATTATCCCGGAAAAACGAGATTTTTTTTCCCCAATTTTCCAGGTTTTTCTATTAAAAAATTCCTCATTTTCTGCTGCCCCATCCCAAAAAAAAAACCCAAAAACAAATCAGGAATTGAATATCTGAGCTGGAAAAAAAGCCGGAGCCTTTCCCGCTTTTCCATTTTTCTGTTCCAAAAAATTCCCAATTTTCTGCTTTCCCACCCCTTTTTTCCACCATTCCCGGGGTTCCCATTCCCATTTTTCCACCATTCCCATTTTTCTGCCATTCCCATTTTTCCACCATTCCCAGGATTCCCACTCCCATTTTCCCACCATTCCCATTTTCCCATTCCCATTTCTCCCATTCCCATTTTCCCATTCCCATTTTCCCATTCCCATTTTCCCCCATTCCCATTCCCATTTTCCCCCATTCCCATTTCCCCCTCATTCCCATTCCCATTTCCCCCTCATTCCCATTTTTCCCCCATTCCTGTTTTCCCAATTCCCATTTCCCCATTCCCATTTTCCATTCCCATTTTCCCATTCCCATTTCTCCCATTCCCATTTTCCCATTCCCCCATTCCCATTTCCCCCATTCCCATTTTCCCATTCCCATTTCCCCATTCCCATTTTTCCTATTCCCATTTCCCCATTCCCATTTTTCCCATTCCCATTTTCCCCATTCCCATTTTTCCCATTCCCATTTTCCCCATTCCCATTTTCCCATTCCCATTTTTCCCATT